GATTCCTCGGAAAAAATATTGGGAGTCTGATGGATGTTGGTTGTGTTTTCAGCAACCTCAGCTTCGTGAGGGCTGACGATGTTTTGTCCGAGATTATGAGAGCTGACGAAGTGTTGACCTATTGCGGCAGCCTTCTCGTCAGGAGTTATCAGATGAACCACTGGGTCGCCGGGACTATCCAGTGGGGTCAGTGGTGGAATGGGTCTTGGTTTATTTTTTAAGAATTTTGGTTAGTTTCCAAAAGGGCTTTGCACAATCTGGGAAAGAGCGGTTCCTGTTAGCAAAATCGTTATTTCTGAGGTCCACCATCCTGCCTTGGATGGTTTTTGTTAGGCGATTACAGTGGGTCTTAAAGACAGGCAGACCAGAGCGTTGGTACTGCCTTCGGATGGTGTTACGGAGTCTCATAGGGTCTTTGGTAGATCTGTCAAGGTTCAGAATGCAGACACCGGTCAACGTCTTCGGGCGTAGGGAAGCTTGGAATCGGTTGACGGATGAGCCCACATCGGCCACCACTAGATAGTGGTCCGAACTCAGCTCCTGGTGGGTCACAGGTTGCGAGATGTTGTCTCCCATGTTACTGACGAAGATGTCGATGGTGGAGTGAACGCCAGACCGGCTCAAGTGGGTGGGAGAGTCCGAAGCTAATATGGTGTAGTGAGCCTCTTGCAGGTCGTCGTTCAGGATTGTGCCGTTTTGATTGCGTCGACTGTTGCCCCAAGCTTGGTGTTTGGCGTTCAGGTCGCCAGCGATGATGTACTTCTCACGGCGTCGAGTTAGTCTGATGATGACTCTCCGCAGGTCTGCTGCTGAGCCGTCCCTGATGGTGACTTGTGTGCAACAGTAGGCTGCAATGATGGTAATAGGGCCGACAGGAGTGGAGACTTCCACACCGACCGCTACGATCATCTTCAGCTGGAAACTCGGTAGCAGTCGACAGCCAATATTTCTCCTTAATGCGATAGCCACTCCTCCTCGGCAGGAGCTGGTCCGGTCTAGTCTTACGAACCGAAAATCGGGGAGGAGAACATTTATCTCCGGGTTCAGGTGTGTTTCGGTGATGACGGCGATGTCTATGCTATGTTCATTGAGGAAATCAACGAACTCAATGATTTTGCTCTTGAGCGAGCAAGCGTTCCAGTTGGCTATTTTGATGGCTTCACGGTTCATACTTTTGCACGAGGGTCATAACTGCACGAAGCTGTTCAGGTAGTGTCTTGGTGGTGCGTAAGATTATGATCACCTTAGTAACGAGGATCACTAGTTCTTTGCTTGTGGGTGGAGAATTTTCTTCTGACTCACCTGACACAGCACGGGCGTACGATAATCCCGGAGCAGTAGAGCCTCAGTGAGGCGATGCTGAACTGAATGGTGGCTGGCGCCTGCTTGATCTGATGTTGGATTCGCAACGGGTGGGCGGTGGTTTAGTGGGAGCGGTGCTAGGTTCGGGACCATACGACGAGCCGGAAGTACAGGAAACGTGTCCTTGTTGACAATAGGAGCACGATTATTGCGGTGGCGACCAGGTTGGTTCCTCGTGAACGCCTGTTGTCGGATCTGGATAAAGGTCGCTGGGACATCTCCTATCGCTGCCCAGATGCTTGGAATCACAGTTCACGCACTTAGGTTCAGCTTCTTCTTCTTTCTAGCAGGCGGTAGTATTGTGAGCCCCAGGACATTTGCCACAAAGAGCCTTTATGTGACAATTCTTCGTACCGTGCCCAAATGCCAGACAATTAGTGCACTGTGTCACGTCACGGTGCCGAGGGCAATACTGCTCCCACTGAATCACGATGTTGAATAGCGCGCGAATCTGCCACAGAGCAGCAACACTGGTGGAGTCCTTATTGAAGTGTACCAGGTACAACTGGTCCTGGAATGCACTGGTTTCATCACGTCTCGCAATAGGAAAAATGTTGATTGGTTGCAGATGAAAGAGTTCCAATTCCGCTTTAATCTCCGCAACAGCGAGATTTGGAAGAGAACGGATCACCATTTTCAGTGGTTTTCTTCCAGGAACGTCGTGAGTGTAGAACTCAAACCGGTTCAGGTGAAGAAAAGGGCCAACAGCGTTGTAGTCCGCAAGCGTTGAGCACAAGATTTTGATCCCCGTGCTGCACAGCTTGAACAGCGGATGTATTTGATTTTTAGCCAGCTCATTCCTGAGCAAAGCGAGTTCCTTCGTCGAGGGGAACAGTGAGGGCAATTTTCCCGTTTCTCAACTGGATCTACATCTGCTGCTTCGGGGAGTGCCGAGAACGGATTACTCTGAAGCAACCTTTCCGTGTGGTTGCTGGCACCAGCTTGCTTATGCATCCACACTTTGGCGACCCATCACCTTTTGTTTTTTCAACGGGTGAGTGGAGGCATTCAATTGTTGCTCCATTACCGCCGATTTAGCGACTGCCACAAGAGAGGCGAGAACTGACGACACGTTGCTAGCCCAAGCAAAAACTCTCGACGGGTACCACGACCAAATGACCGACTTAAAACACCGAACTACTCGAGAGAGTGAGCGAAAAGAGGGCCGGAATGTACAGCTTGATGGTCAAGCAGAGAATAGTTGCAGGAAGAAAACGATTTGGCAAGCGTTTTTATTATCGCTGCTTTTCTCCTCCCTTCCTTTCATTGGTGAAATGGTGAGCGATCAACCGAGCATTGAGCTTGATCATGTGAGCATGCGCAATGTGTCGTTTGTTCGATGTGCGCTCTATCGTTGCGTCCGTGTTTAGGATTTTTCGTTATGTGTCTGAATTTTGATTTTTTTCAATGTGACCCCCAGTATGGAAATTAAAGACGTAGTCTTACGTCATACAAAGATTAGAGTAATTTCAGAAGAAGCGAATAACTTGAGATGTTTAAAAAAATTCAGAATAGAAATTTATGAATTTTTTAGAAGCATTCCCAGAGATCTCTGGTACAAGTTCAAACGGATTTTTTTTTAAAGTTTAACTTCGAGACACTCTAGAAAAGTCATGAAGTTGTTTTTGCACCAAAAGTTTTGTAAAATGGTCTTGCCTCGGTGTACCTTATATTTTGAAAACATTTTAAAGAATGTTCTGAAATTCTTGGGAGAATTTCAAGGAATCATGCATGAGAGGAAGATTTACAGAAATTTTTGACATCATGTCACAGAGAATTATAAGGTGAATTTCAAAGGAATTCGGAACAATTGTTAGAAAAAGCTCTGAGGATAAATTAACGGTTTTTTTTAAATCCCGAAGAAAGTTCAAGAGTATTTACAGTTCAAGCATATTTATAAAGAGTGAACCATGGTTAATAAGAGGATTTCACCAAGAGAATTCTAAAGTTTATTCAATTAGAAATTTTTGAGTTTTCAAAATTAGGGAGGCAAATTGAATTCATTTTTTAAAAGAATTAGAATTAGAATATCGACATAACTGCAAAATGGTTCTTTTGCAGAAATTCTTTTTAAAAATATAAGGCAAATTAGAAAGGAATACCAATGAAAACTTCAATGTTCATCTAGGGCAGTGGTTTTCAGGCTGTACTTTGTCGCCAAACCTGTAATAAATGGTGTTACTCTTAATATTGATATATGGGTCATTTCAGCTCAAGTGGGTACATAATTTAAAAAGTTGTGGTCGATGCACCGATTTGAGCCAAAAATTAGCCAAAATGCTTATTTTGGTATGCTAAACAAACGGCTTCTTCTGGGCTACAACCCTGAATTTTCGAGATTTTTAAAAGTTTCAACTTTCAGAAGAGATTACTCCACAACCAAATAAGCTATTCATGATCTTAGAACGTTAGAACGTCAATTTGAAGGTTTTTTAAATGTAAATTCTTATAGATGTACCCACATTTTGTTTTTGTTGGAGTAACTACAGTAAACAGACTGATTACCGGCAGGTATCCATATTGTCAAAAAATGGCCTATTATCAAAATGGGCGGGATTTTTTATTTCTTTATATTTTGGGCTCAAATTTTCACCACACTTTGGAAAGCTCTTCTGCTTGATGTATTTTCGGAAACCTTCAAATTGACGTTCTAAGATCACAAATAGTTTATTTGGTTGTGGAGTAATCTCTTGTGAAAGTTGAAATTTTTAAAAATCTCGAAAATTCAGGGTTGTAGCCCAGAAGGATCTAGGCACTTTAGAGCAAAATCAAAAAAAATATTTGCTCAGAATGCCAAAAGAAGCGTTTTGGTCAAGTTTGGCTCAAATCGGCGACATCGACCACAATTTTTTTTTAAATTCTGTGCCCACTTGAGCTGGATTGACCAATATCTGAAATTGGCGTTTCGCTGTAGCTTTCGGAGCCTATTCCGAAGCTATTGGGTGACCACTAGATATGTCGCTCTACTGGTTTCTGTTCCTATGAAGGATTGGAATCTTCCCCCGCTGTCCCGGGATCAGCGAAATAACTTAGTCATTCTGGTCAGTTGGCATCGTGTTCAGATTGTCTATAACATTCTCAATGTTTTGAATCGTTCTGCTGAAATGAGAGATTGGTCACGCTTAACCTAAACAGATATAAAAACATATAATTTGAGGTACCTATTCCAATAAACCCTTTCTATATAAATTAAATACAATACCTTTAACGAGCTGCGATAATGTGAAGGCAAAGCAGAGTTTTTACGATTCCCTACTAGCAACCAAATGCTTATGATTTTCCTTTTCCTCCATCATTTATTTTCCCCCATGTAGTAACGAGCTTCATCTCGTTCGTTCGTGAAACAGTTTCGCTGGGAAAAATATTATAATAAAATTCAAATAATGATAATAAATTTATCTCTTCATTTATCATCGTACATTTCCTTCCGCCCCCATGCCGAGTGGAAGAAAGTAAACGATCCCATATTCCCAGATCGTCGTCGCTTACATTGTTCCCAAACCAGCAGCAACAGCAGCAATACAAGTAGCACAATATTTCGCCTGGCCGCAGACTTCCTTCCCTGCGAGAAGCGGCGAAGAAGGCGACATTTGTTATATGTACTTATTCTTCCTTCTTCTGCTTTCCCTCACATACAGATTGGCACAAATAATTGCACTGCCCGCTATCGCACACTCAGTGGTGGCCTGGGAGATGAATCGCCCTCGCCATCGCCGACGCCGTCCTCCGAGTACGACGACATCCTGCTGCAAAAGCAACTGGCAGCGGCACACCAGCATCAGCACCAACTGCAAGTCGGGGACCATCACTTACACCAGCAGCAGCAGCACCATCAGAATGGGGGCAGTGGAGGGAGCTCCGGGATCGGCAGCCAAAGCGGTCAAAGCGGGACCCTCGGGACGCTCGGCTCCGGGAGTAATGGCTCCGGGGGAATCGGAAGCGGCGGAAGTGGAAGTGGAGGAGGAGGAGGAGGAGGAGGACTGGGAGTCGGTGGTGGCAGCGGTAGTACAAAGAATGGAGTCAACAATCTCAAGAACCTGAAGGCAGCCAAGAATCGGAACAATCTATCATCGTCGCTGGCGGCAGTGGCGTCGCACAATAAAAATTTAACGATAAGTCAACAAATAGCTTTAGTACATCATGTAAGTAGCCCTGACGCTTCCAGTTCTGTCGTTTTCTTTCTTTTCTGATCCTGAACTTCTTGATTTGACTTATAGCGCTTTTCTTGCTTCATTGCGAGGATTTATTGCAAGGTTTTTTTTTTCACCCCCGCTTCGGTTGAGTTGACATCCTTTAATAGTGCAAATTTTCCACCTTTCGTCCCAGGAATTTGACTTGTTACGTTCTCCACGGGCAGCCCCTTCTCAGAACCTTTTTTTGTCCACTCTGATAATGAATTTCCTTGCTAGACGGTTTCCTGACTTGGCAGCTGTTGCCGCTGCCTGGAGAAGATTGAATCCAGTGGCACCATGGGGACAGGGGGGATGTTGTAAGAAGTTTTCCATCCTTGCCCCGGGGTAAAACGAAGAGCGAGTAAAATTTTCTTCTATGCAAATTTTTTATTTTTTCCTTCATTTGGTTCGGTAGGTCGTCTTCTGAGAAAATCTAACAGAGTGATGAAATAACGAGATGACTGTTGTCGCTTGCACTCCCCCGTCGTCGCACGTCATTGCAGTTCTGTTCCTAAGCATTTTTTATTTATTTTTATGTAATTGCATGTGACGCAAAATGGTTTTTGGTAACTTGCCCGGTGTCACTTGGAATATGTTCAGTTGTGGTGATTAAAGAGTCATTATCTGATGCATTCCTCTGGGACACTTACGTAACGAGTCTGAGCTTGGCTGTGCAAGCGGTTAGCGTCCTGACTTGAGCGAAAAGTCATCTTGCGACATATCAAATCTCATGAGAATTCAATAATAAGACTTGGTCCAGGATCTTAAAGTCCTAGAATGTTTAAAATATTTTCTATTCCAGAGGCTTGGTGTTGTCTGAGATTTATAGAATGTCGCTGATTCGACCTTTTGTCACTTTCACATTTTGTCCTACAACCAATTCTTACTTCTCCTATCGTCGCTAGCCTCTTTGGCTACATCATATTGATTATCCAGTCAACATAAATCACCGGAAGCTGCATTCGGAAATCTTTGGCGGAAGTTAACAATTTGTTAGAAGGGTTCAGGATAGATTCAGGTTTTTGTTTATGAAACAGGTGGCTTTGCAAAATTTTATTTACTGCATAAATTTGGAATTATTTAAGATACTAGAAAATTACTCGAGTGCATTTGCATTTGGGGAAATCGATGTAATGTCGGCCTAAATGCCCCCAATATGGGCCCATACATAAATTCAGCAATCGACACAATTTTCAATAGTGACCAAAACATCCATGAGTACCGTCCCAATGATGCGTTCATCTAGATAAAATTGATAAATAGCAGATTTTAAGCGATGGGCCCAATCTTAGATCCATAGGCCAACATTAGAGTCATTTCCCTATTTGGCATCTAGTCTAAGCCTTTTGAAATATGGTCAATGCCGCTGTTCGACAAGTTTCAAGAAATGTCAGATCTGTTTTTAGAATGTGCCGTCTCAAATCAGGGCTCGATCAATTTTTATAAGAAGTTTTACGCATTTTCCAAAACTGCATACTATTTTAATTATTTTATTGTTTTTCAGTTCCAGTACAACAATTGTAAAAAATATACATACACTGAAACCTGCGTATACAAAGTCTTTTTTTACGCAGTAGGTATTCAATTTACGTCCCTCTTTTTACGAAGTAAATCCCAAATAACGAGGTTTTTTTTGTGATTTTGGGAAACTGGGATATACTGTGAAATACCCCACAATATGGGTCTTGTTGGAATCGAAGTGACGTGTAGGGACCGGAAATCGATGTGACGCTCTTTGAAATCCAAGATGGCGGCTTCCGGCTACATGAAAACATGGAAATTCTGTGAAATACCCCACAATATGGGTATTTTTGGAATCGGAAATCGGTGTCTGACGCCATTTCAAAATCCAAGATGGCGACTTCCGGTTACATAAAAACTTGGAAATTCTGCCAAATACCGCACAATATGGGTATTTTTGGAATCGGAGTGACATTTAAAGACCGGAAATCGATGTCTGACGCCATTTTGAAATCCAAAATGGCGGTTTCCGGTAACAGAAAAGCTTGGAAATTCTGTCATATACCCCACAATATGGATATTTTTGGAATTGGAGTGACGTGTAAGAACCGGAAATTTATGTCTGACGCCATTTCGAAATCCAAGATGGTGGCTTCCGGTTACAGAAAAATTGGCAAATACCACCATATCACCCCGATTCTTAAGATACCCATATTGTAGGTTATATAACATTATTTTTATGTTTTTATGTAACCGGAAGTCGCCATATTGAATTTCAAAACAGCGTCAGGCATGGGTTTTCAGTCCTAATAAGTCACCCCGATTCCAAAAAAACCCATATTGTGGAGTATTTGACAATATTTTCCAGTGTTTCTGTAACCGGAGGTTACCATCTTGGATTTTGAAATGGCGTCAGACATGGATTCCCGGTTCTCACAGGTCACCCCGATTCCAAAAATATCCATATTGGTGTGTATTTAACGGTATTTTTCTGTTTTCCTGCAACCGGAAGCCGCCATCTTGTATTTCAAAATGGTGTCAGACATCGATTTCCGGTCCCTACGCTTCACACCGATTCTTAAGATACCCATATTGTGGGTTATTTAACATTATTTTTCTGTTTTTATGTAACCGGAAGCCACCATCTTGGATTTTGAAATGGCGTCACACATCGATTTCCAGACCCTACACGGCATTCCGAATCCGAAAATACCCATATTGTGGGGTATTTGACAGATTTTCCATGTTTTCCTGTAACCGGAAGCCGCCATCTTGGATTTCAAAATGGCGTCAAACATCGATTTCCGATCCGTACACGTCACTCCGATTCCAAAAATACCCATATTGCGGGGTATTTGGCAGAATTTCCAAGTTTTTCTGTAACCGGAAGCCGCCATCTTGGATTTCAAAATGGCGTCAGACATCTATTTCCAGTCCCTACACGTCACCCTGTTTCCAAAAATACCCATATTGTGGGGTATTTGACAATATTGGCAAAAACCTCTTTTTACGAAGTAAATCCCAAATAACGAGGTTTTTTTTTACGAACTAATTCGATTTACGAACCCCCGTTTTGGTTCGTAAATGGAGGTTCCAGTGTACTATTATTGAGGCATATTATTAAAAATACTATGGACCATACACACATCCCAAGTAAAGGGTGTCCCACATGAAATTGCATCACGAAAAAAACGCTGTAGAAAATTACCTAGTTGACCGATCCTTTTCAAACTTTCAGGCAATAAAATATAACCCATTAGTAAGCTTTTGGCATAACCGTACGCTCGCACCTTACGCATAACTCCACTCATTAGGTTCTGTTCAACATGTGGCTGCAGCTTCTTCTGTACGGAAACCCAGTTTTTCTTCATGTCTTCCTCAAATTTGACTTGTAGTGCTAAAAGTGCTTGCTTCATAACAATATTCCAGTATTTTTCGATGGGCCTTAGCTCCGGTGCGTTGAGGGGGGGGGGGGGGGGGGATTTCAGGTCCTTGGGTACGAAAGTGACCCCGTTGGCTTCGTACCACTCCAGGACAACATTTGAATAGTGGCACGAAGCTAGATCCGGCCAGAAGATCGTAGGGCCCTCGTGTTGCTTCAACATAGGAAGCAGACGCTTCTTGTAGCGAGTAAAGGGTGATACGGTCAACATTTGGTCAATATCAACTTGACGTATTTCTTTCAATTTTGCATTTAAAAAACCTGAACACCCCTCATTTTGAAGGTGTGTGTATGTAGAATGTTGCTCCTATTTTGATTTTGGAATTCACTCTTCACTTGTCAAAATGCCGTCCAAGCAAGAAGAGCAGCGTATCAAAATTTTGCTCGCGCATCGCGAAAATCCGAGCTACTCGCACGCAAAGTTGGCAAAATCGCTAAAAGTTGCCAAATCAACCGTTACAAATGTAATTAAAGTGTTTGGGGAACGTTTGTCGACAGCCAGGAAGTCTGGATCGGGGGGAAATCGAAAACCGGAAGCCGCTGAGACGACAAAGAGAGTTGCCGGTAGTTTCAAGCGAAACCCTAACCTCTCTCTCCGAGATGCCGCAAATAAGCTGGGTGTATCGTCTACAACTGTGCATCGAGCCAAAAAACGAGCCGGACTATCGACTTACAAGAAGGTAGTGACTCCAAATCGCGATGATAAACAAAATACGAAGGCCAAAGCGCGATCCCGGAGGCTGTACACGACGATGCTGACGAAGTTTGACTGCGTGGTAATGGACGACGAAACCTACGTCAAAGCCGACTACAAGCAGCTTCCGGGACAGGAGTTTTATACGGCAAAAGGAAGGGGAAAGGTAGCAGATGTTTTCAAGCACATGAAACTGTCAAAGTTCGCAAAGAAATATCTGGTTTGGCAAGCCATCTGTACCTGTGGCTTGAAACGCAGCATTTTCATAGCTTCCGGGACTGTCAACCAAGAAATTTACGTGAAAGAGTGTTTAAATAAACGTCTGCTGCCTTTCCTGAAGAAACACGGTTGTTCCGTACTGTTTTGGCCGGATTTGGCATCTTGCCATTACGGTAAAAAGGCCATGGAGTGGTACGCCGCCAACAACGTGCAGGTGGTTCCCAAGGACAAGAACCCTCCCAACACGCCAGAGCTCCGTCCAATTGAGAAATACTGGGCTATTGTCAAGCGGAACCTAAAGAAGACCAAAAAAACTGCTAAGGGCGAGCAGCAGTTCAAGGCAAACTGGCTTTCTGCGGCGAAGAAGGTGGACAAGGTGGCTGTACAAAATCTGATGGCAGGGGTCAAGCGTAAGGCCCGGCAATTCGGATTTGGAAAAGCGGAAGCCTAACTGAATATTTTTCCTGAATTTTATACTAATTGAACTTGAAAAAGAAATTTAATTTGATTTTTTAAATAAACGATTTCACCGATTTACACGCGTTTTCCCTTGACCAAATTTTGACCGTATCACCCTTTACCAGGGATATAATTTCACCAACAAGCGTGCTGTCTCAACACAATAGTTGTCAAATGATATTGAATCGATTTCGC